ATTTCCTTCAACAAGACGCTCCAAGCAAAACACATATCATGTGGCGAATAAAAAAATAGCTCCAAGTAAAGTTACCGATAGAAGTAGACGAAAGAGGGGATGCCTTCCGGTGCATCCTCAAGCTTTGGCTTTTAGATGTCCTTAGATTATCTTGGGGATGCCATGGGCATCCCCAATCTTAGGCTCTTGCCACTCCTTGTTCCATAATCCATCAAATCTTTACCCCAAACTTGAAAACTTCACAACACAAAACTTAAAGTAGAAAATCTCGTGAGCTCCGTTAGCGAAAGAAAATAAAAGACCACTTCAAGGTACTGTAATGAACCCATTCTTTATTTATATTGGTGTTATACCTACTGTATTCCAACTTCTCTATAGTTTATAAACTATTTTACTAGCCATAGATTCATCAAAATAAGCAAACAACACACGAAAAACAAAAACTGTCAAAAACAGAACAGTCTGTAGTAATCTGTAGCTAGCGCAAGATCTGGAACCCCAAAAATTCTAAAATAAATTACTGGACGTGAGGAATTTATCTATTAGTCATCTGCAAAAAGAATTAACTAAATAGCACTTTCCAAATAAAAATGACAGCAGTTCTCGTGAGCTCTAAAGTTTCTGTTTTTACAGCAAGTGTAACAAGACTTTCCCCAAGTCTTCCCAACGGTTCTACTTGGCACAAACACTAATTAAACACAAAAAACACAACCAAAACATAGGATAGATAAATTATTTATTACTAAACAGGAGCAAAAAGCAAGGAATACAAATAAAATTGGGTTGCCTCCCAACAAACGCTATCGTTTAACGCCCCTAGCTAGGCATAACAAGCAAGGATAGATCTAGGTATTGCCATCTTTGGTAGGCAATCCTTCAATGAGGCATCTACCATCTTTAGGAATTTCTTCATTTTTATTGATTATCAAATTTTTAGGCACAAGATCAAAAAAATCATTTGTAATAAATGGTTCCTTAATGATAGCAAAAAGATTGGGATGAACACTTATAGATTTGAGATCCACAGTTTCCTTACTAGAGGATTCACCCTTATTCTTAGGAACATACATAAGCTTGGCAATTTTAGCGGGAGGACTTGGAGTGTTCTTTACGGAAGAAAAAGCGGTTCCCAAGTTGGTAATAATGTCCTCAAGTTTATCAATTCTAGTGGAATCTTGATTTATTTTCTCATTAACTATGGGTTCCTTCTCTTTAATATTTTTCAAAGTGACTCCTACTTTAGATCCATATTGAGAGATTCAGCTGTGAATCTTTTTATCCAAATTTTCAATTAACTCTACGGTGGCAACCTTATTTTCAATAATTTCAAGCCTTTGCATTACATGCTCCAAAGTTAATACGGTTTCATTAACCAAAAGAGGGGGTGAGCCAAACAAATCTATCATAGCATTATAAGAATCAAAAGTATGGCTACCCAAGAAGTTCCCTCCGGTAATAGTATCAAGGATATATCTGTGCCAGGGAGTTATGCCTACATAAAAATTGCGAAGAAGAACAGAAGTAGATTGCTTCCTGGTAGATCTATTTTGAGCATTGCAAATTCTATACCAAGCATCTTTTAGATTTTCTCCCTCCCTTTGCTTAAAATTTAGAATTTCACTCTCGGGAGATAACGGAGAACCTATAAGGGACTAGCCATAACGACAAGCAAACAAACTAACACACAAGCAAACAAAAAGCAAGCGGGCAAAAAGAGGCAAATAGAGAAAGAGAGGGAGGATAGAGAGAGACAGAGGGCGAATAAAATGGCAAGGGTGAAGTGGGGGAGAGGAAAACGAGAGGCAAATGGAAAATAATGTAATGCAGGAGATAAGGGTATGTGATGGGTACTTGGTATGTTGACTTTTGCGTAGGCCCCCCCGGCAACGGCGCCACAAATCCTTCTTGCTACCTCTTGAGCACTGTGTTGGTTTTCCCCAAAGAGGAAGGGATGATGCAGCAAAGTAGCATAAGTATTTCCCTCAGTTTTTGAGAACCAAGGTATCAATCCAGTAGGAGGCTACGCGCGAGTCCCTCGTATATGCACAAAACAAATAAATCCTCTTAACCAACGCGAATAGGGGGTGTCAATCCCTACACGGCCACTTGCGAGAGTGAGATCTGATAGATATGATAAGATAATATTTTTGGTATTTTTGTGATAAAGATGCAAAGTAAAAATAAAGGCAAAGTAAAAAAGCAAAGGAAATAACTAAGTAGTAGGAGATTAATATGATAAAGGTAGACCCGGGGCCATAGGTTTCACTAGTGGCTTCTCTCGAGAGCATACGTATTCTACGGTGGGTGAACAAATTACTGTTGAGCAATTGACAGAATTGAGCATAGCTATGAGAATATCTAGGTATGATCATGTATATAGGCATCACGTCCGAGACAAGTAGACCGACTCATGCCTGCATCTACTACTATTACTCCACTCATCGACCGCTATCCAGCATGTATCTAGAGTATTAAGTTAAAAACAGAGTAACGCCTTAAGCAAGATGACATGATGTAGAGGGATAGACTCATGCAATATGATGAAAACCCCATCTTGTTATCCTCGATGGCAACAATACAATACGTGCCTTGCTGCCCCTACTGTCATTGAGAAAGGACACCGCAAGATTGAACCCAAAGCTAAGCACTTCTCCCATTGCAAGAAAGATCAATCTAGTAGGCCAAACCAAACTGATATTTCGAAGAGACTTGCAAAGATAACCAATCATACATAAAAGAATTCAGAGAAGATTCAAATATTGTTCATAGATAGACTTGATCATAAACCCACAATTCATCGGTCTCAACAAACACACCGCAAAAAGAAGATTACATCGAATAGTTCTCCACAAAAGAGGGGGAGAACATTGTATTGAGATCCAAAAAGCCATCTAGCTAATAACTATGGACCCGTAGGTCTGAGGTAAACTACTCACACTTCATCGGAGGGGCTATGGTGTTGATGTAGAAGCCCTCCGTGATCGATGCCCCCTCCATCGGAGCTCCGGAACAGGCCCCAAGATGGGATCTCGTGGATACAAAAAGTTGCGGCGGTGGAATTAGGTTTTTGGCTCCGTATCTGATCGTTTGGGGGTACGTAGGTATATATAGGAGGAAGGAGTACGTCGATGGAGCAACAGGGGCCCCACGAGGGTGGAGGGCGCGCTTGGGGGGGTAGGCGCGCCCCCTACCTCGTGGCCTCCTCTTTTGTGTCTTGACGTAGGGTCCAAGTCTCCTGGGTCTTGTTCGTTGAGAAAATCATGTTCCCGAAGGTTTCATTCCGTTTGGACTCCGTTTGATATTCCTTTTCTTCGAAACCCTAAAACAAGCAAAAAAACAACAATTCTGAGCTGGGCCTCCGGTTAATAGGTTAGTCCCAAAAATAATATAAAAGTGGATAATAAAGCCCAATAATGTCCAAAACAGTAGATAATATAGCATGGAGCAATCAAAAATTATAGATACGTTGGAGACGTATCAAACACCCACACCAGATCCAATCCCTTGGAAGCCAAAGACGAGGACGACACGACAACCCAAGACCAAGGGTCAAATTTCAGCAAAACCTAACCCCAATCATGCGCATCGGTCGGAATCAAATTCAAGCAATCAACATGATATTATGGATCGAGCGTAAATCAGAGCACAAAGTGACAAATTACCTCATCCATGACAATCAACCGGGTGAGGAACCGAGAGGCATCGTCCACAACAGAAATCCAACCCTAGCTGTTAGTTGAAGCTGCAAACAACACCACTGCATCAGAAGACAGGCACGCACGTCTTAACCAAGAGATGACAGGCGGAGACGTGGACCAGACCTGAGGATCGACGGCGGGAGAGGCATCGAGATGACGGCGCCCGAATGCAAGAGAGGAAGGGGATAATTGCGAAACGAAGAGGAAGGCTAGGGTTCTTGCTCAGTCAACCGGGCTCCTCGCTTTTACCCCCAAAAGCTAGCCATAGGTGAGCGCCTTGCAAGGGCAAGCACGTGAAATACCAAAAGTGCCCTCGCCGGCCACCGAAAATCACAGGCGGTGGCACGCCCATCGTGCACACAAGAACCAGCACTGTGCGCAGCTTACCCCCGCGGTCGCTGACGACCTCGCCCCACCTCGCCTGGGCCCTGCCTATCAATGTGTATGAGGGTGGTGGACCGGGGGGGGGGGTGGCAGACACTATTCGTTGGTTTTCACATCACTGAAGATCCGACGGCTAGGATCATTCCATCTTAAGATCTGACGACCAGGATACGTCTGGACAGCCAATCCAACGACCCAAAATCGTGACGCCCTGAGAAGGCTTCATGTTGCTTAAGACTCTAACAATGGGATGGTCAGGCCCCAACTCTCATCTCAAACGTAATCCGATCCCATTCATGTCAATCTTGCTGAGGCCCCATAATTGACTCACTTACTAGTGCACCTCTCTGCCTAACACACCAACACCAGTGCTCGCGTGCACGCCGCATCTCTGTCACGCTCCACCGTACGGCTGCCTGACCTAGCTAGCAAGATGCATGCACCGCACGTTAATCGTAGACTTGCATCGCCGAAACGTGCAACGTATACAGCGGCCGCGCCTAATTAATTTGGTTGGTGCTCCATTATGCACGCACCACTTGGGTTTCAGAACAGAAAATTAGCAGCGGCAAGTGCGGCCAGTGCACGTTTAGTCAGCCAGTTGAGCCATGCGTGCAGTAAAAAACGCACAATCGCAGTAATCCATCGGTAAACTAATACTCCCACTGTATGGGCGACGCACTATGCATGCTGACGACACATTGGCACGTTGCCATTTGCTCGACGAACAGTCAAACGATATGAATATTTATACGAGTCCAACTTGTTGCTAGCTAGTATCACTCACCACTTTAAGCTGTCTATATAACCTTGCGGTAAGCACGGAGAGATCGATCAAACGGGCACGTACGTAGTACAGAGTGCGGACATTGATCCGGCGGCAGTGCTGGGATATTTTGTACCATCAACGTATCAGAAATGGAGCCTCTCAGAGATCATGGCGCGAGCTGCTTGCCGATGATGATCATGGTGCTGCTGTGCCTGGGCGGCGCGGCTTGTGGCCAGCTGAGCGACGACTTCTACGACGACAGCTGCCCGAAGCTGGAGAGCATCGTCCAGGCGCGCGTGGCCGCCGCGATGAAGGCCGAGCTACGGATGGGCGCCTCCCTGCTCCGGCTCCACTTCCACGACTGCTTCGTCAACGTACGTCCGTCTCCGTAACACGCATCGTTATTACCGCATGCTTTCTTAGGCTCTGAAGTGAACATCGTCGTGGACGTACTTGTGGCATGCATGCATGCAGGGGTGTGACGGGTCGATCCTGCTGGACGGGGCGGAGAGCGAGAAGCTGGCGGCGCCGAACCTCAACTCGGTGAGGGGATACGAGGTCATCGACGCCATCAAGGCCGACCTCGAGAAGGCCTGCCCGGGGCTCGTCTCCTGCGCCGACGTCGTCGCGCTCGCCGCCAAATACGGCGTACTCCTCGTACGTTCCTTCCTTCCTTCCCTCGATCGAATTCACAACCACTCCAACATAGCTAACCAACTACAGTACCTACCAAATAATTCAGTTGAACGTGCACCCGAAAGAACTGTTTGAGAACCGTACTACCAGTACTGCTTTACCGAGTGTAGTACGCGTACTGATTTTGTTGGCATGTTCAGAGCGGAGGGCCTGACTACGATGTTCTTCTGGGAAGAAGGGACGGGCTGGTGGCGAACCAGACCTTGGCCAACAACAACCTGCCAAGCCCGTTCGACAACATCACCGTGATCATACAGAGGTTCAAGGACGTCGGCCTTAACACAACAGACGTGGTCATCTTATCAGGTACTGTACTCTACTAGACTGAGCACTACTGTCTATAGTACACGTTGTATTGTACGCAACGAAAGCCAGCAAATCCAACCATGCATGAACCGCATGCAGGAGCCCACACGATCGGGCGGTCGCGGTGCGTGCTCTTCAGCGGCCGGCTGGCCAACTTCTCGGCGGCCAACTCGGTGGACCCGACCATGGACCCGGCGCTGGCGTCCAGCCTGCAGCAGCTGTGCCGGGGCGGCGACGGCAACCAGACGGCCGCGCTGGACGCCGGCTCCGCCGACGCCTTCGACAACCACTACTTCAAGAACCTGCTGGCCAAGAAGGGCCTCCTCTCCTCCGACCAGGGCCTCGTCTCCAGCCCCGACGGCGCCGCCGCCACCAGGGCCCTCGTGCAGGCCTACAGCTACAACAGCCAGCGCTTCCTCTGCGACTTCGGCGACGCCATGGTCCGGATGGGCAACATCGCCCCCCTCACCGGCTCCGCCGGCCAGATCCGCAAGAAATGCAGCGCCGTCAACTGAGCCGGCACGCACCACCGCATCCAGCTAGCCGATGAAGAGTCATGTCGTGCTTTGCACGTGTACCATGGTCAGGATGTGTACGTGTGCGTTCGTGTGAAAGTTGTCCTCTCGTCTTGTCTACCGTTTCTTTCTTCGGGTTCAAGCTAGCTAGGATTCTCCAGCTAGGAGTAATAAGCTGGCTCGTCCTCTGAACCCTGCAGTTGCATCGCAGTGGGACAGCCAGTGTGTCGGTTGACGGGTGAGTGGTAGTACCTATCAGGGCTGCGTGATAGTAGCGCGCAAAATGAATAATGGAATCTGTAGCTAGCCGCACGAAGTCTGCATCGTGCCCTACCTCCCTGAATGATGTGCACTTGAAGTCTTGAGCAAGCAAGTTCAGTTAAATGCCCAACGGCTCCTTAAGTTTCAAGGACTTTCAGGTCTTGCGTCAACTGTAACGAACTTTCCGGTTACGCGTGGCTCATGATGCGGCAATTAGCGTTGCCGTACTGTGCCGAACGCGATCTGGCGCTCTGATTGGGGAGCAAAAGACCGTACGTGCGGCGGTTATCATCTTGCTGCTGAATTTGACGGGCAGATGCCAAGGTGGAGTACTTCAGAGTTCAGGTTGTCCGGTGTTCATTCAAGGGCGTGGCTACATGCCAGTCGTCTAAAAAAATTGAGGTTAGTTGATTTTCTCAACCGCACGATGCGAAATCGACGACCCCGCTTTCTTCTTTGACCTCCCGCTTCCTTCTCCCTTCTCCACGTTGAACCACCCCGCTGCCGCCGGCCTAACTGCCTGTGACCACCACCCACGGCTGCTGGTGCTCCCACACAGCCTCGCCGCTCCGTCCTCTCTGGAACCGCCCCCCAACGTCGGTCTTGCCGCTGCCCCCGGCCATCCCTCTAGCCCCGGCGCCGGCCAAGATTTTCTGTGGCGAAGTTGCACCACCGTGCCACCACTGCCCCCACCACCGCCGTTCTTCTGCCCCCATCCCCCATCCTAAGATAGATAATAGGGTAGCCCTCTGATGAGCTCCTTCTTTCTCCTTCGTTCGTTCCGGACTCCCACAGGTGAACTCTCAAAATCGACGGACCCAAAGCGAAGTCAGTCGACTGGCATTTAGCTAATGTGTTTATTGAAAAGCGGTATCTTCATCACTTTGGTGGTTACCGACCGGTGGAGAGAGTAGTACTCCCTCCGTTCCATAATGTAGCGCATATAGATTTGTCTAGAAGTCAAACTTTATAAACTTTGACCAAGTTTGTAGAGAAAATCATATACATCTAGAATACCAAATACGTGTGCTTAGATACATCACAACACATACTTTCATATTATATACATTTGGTATTGTAGATATAAATAGTTTTCTCTATAACTTGGTCAAAGTTTATAAAGTTTGACTTTGTAGAAAATCTATATGCGCTACATTATGGAACGGAGGGAGTACTAAACTTGTAGGAGTAACTGACAAGAACGCCGTACGAGATGATGAGTAGGCGTTGAATTATTTGTTTGCGTACTGTCTTTGCTGTGCTAGCGACGACCCGTGAAGTGTAGCATTTCTCCAGGATTTTCCCTATTTGTCCGCACATGCACTGTAGATTCACCTACCACAAACTATATCGAGGGCCCGGTTTGTTGGCACCGTATTATTCAAAAGTGCAAAGGCCGGCAAGTTTGTCGGCTAGTTTTGCTGGACGTAAGTCGCCTGAATTTACAATTTGAATCAGTCGATTCGGTTGAAAAGGAAGCAGCAATTGTAGAGCACCAAAGCCGGACGCTGGCAGCAGGATTGATCTGGTCTATCTTACGGCACAAGGGAACAAGAAGGCTCCTTGTCTGTCTTACAAAAATGCTAGACTTACGGAAACCAGCCTACGGATGGTAGTTACGGGATGGGGTGCCGTAATCTCATTGATGCTCAACCCGTGAATTAAGCTGTGGGACCCAAATCGTGGTAAATCCTAAGTCTCCACCTCATCTCCGTAACAACTTTCCGTGAAAACTGCCAGTAGCTGTAGCAAAGTTGGTCTATCTTAGGATGCATGGGGTGTAGGTTCGCCGGAGAAATCGGGTAGTTTGTCGGCTTTAGAGGGATGGCCCTGGGCGACGGCAAGCCTGGTTGAGGGAGCTCGTGGGGAGGACGGGGCGGCGAGACGATCGTGGGACCGCCGCCGGCCGCAGGCGGAGGAGGCAGGCGGTTCGGCCTGGGGTGGAGGGCGGCCAAAGGAGGAATATGTTCACATCGTGGGGAGGAAGATGATGAACAGTTTTCTTCGGGAGGGAAGTAGAAGAAGGAGATCTCACCGTTACACTTTTTCATCCAACGGATGGGATCAATTTGACTGACCCAAAAACCAAATTCAGTAGCCATTCCCTTTGCTGGCACCGTATCATTGGCCGGTTAAAATTCAGGCGCGTCGATAGTAAACCGGGCTTGCTGCATGCATGCATGCATGCAAAGTGCTTTTGTTGGCCTCTGAAAACGACGCTCTGACGGACTCCCACGAACAGCAAATGATTGAGTTGAGCCATCCTTCGGATCCAAGCAAAGGGCCTCTCCGTGTCCGCGAGCACCAGGCCTGCCTATAAAGCCCGTGCTCTTCAGCTCGTGGGACTCCTCAGACCGGCCGTGAACCACCTAGTCGGCACTTGCACACAAAGTGAGCCCCTGCACTGCACCTGCAAAGAGCAAACACGTACGACGTGCTCGCAGACAGAGTCTACCAAGGCAGGCAAAGATGGTCCGTGGCGTCCATTACGGCGGCGCGTGCGCCGTCCTCCTGGCCGCCGCCGTCGCGCTCGGCCTCGGCGCCCGCGGCGGCGCGGCGCAGCTGGACGACAAGTTCTACGACCGGTCGTGCCCCGGCGTGCACAAGATCGTGCGGCGGGTCCTGAGGGAGGCGCACAAGGCCGACGTCCGCATCTACGCCAGCCTCACGCGCCTTCACTTTCACGACTGCTTCGTCCAGGTACGCCACCAGCTGCATGCTCCATGCAAACCTTTCGGCGTTCGTCTGGGTCGTGCCCCGTCCAAGGTTTTGAGTTTTGACACGTACGTCTTGCCGCGCGCGCGTGTTTTCAGGGGTGCGACGGGTCGATTCTGCTGGACAACAGCACGAGCATCGTGTCGGAGAAGTACGCCAAGCCGAACAACAACTCGGTGCGCGGGTTCACGGTGGTGGACGACGTCAAGGCGGCGCTCGAGAAGGCCTGCCCCGGCGTCGTCTCCTGCGCCGACATCCTCACCATCGCCGCCGAGGTCTCCGTCGAACTGGTACGTGAATACATGTGCTAATCTGCCGGCGATGTACGTGTGCATGCATGTGTTCTTTTCACTGCTCACATTCATCAGCTTCATCATTGAAAAAAGGCAACATCGTGGTTCACGGGCCAGGAGCTGCCAATGTGGCAATGTGAAGGTACTGGCTAAAAGGTGCAGTAGGTGTAGCCTAGCTCATATATGCCCGAGCCTGTGGCAATAATTCAGAAACCGTCGGTGCAAAATAATTGAGCTGCATGCAAACGATGGGTTACGTAGACTGGAGAGATCGACAGCATCATTGCCTGAAGTATGCTGCTAGTTGTAAAGCGGGCTGGCACGTGGTTCCATGTCAATCAAAACCCGTAAAAGACAGAGCCTAGCTAGTACGAGGTGGGGATACAGCAAAGTCCACGTCGCACCGGCTGTCGATCGATCACACCAGCCCTTCACTTCGTGCCTCTCTTTAATCCAACAAGCATGGTCACATGCACGACGAACGTTCCCCTCGTTGCTCACGAGCGTTTGTTCCCATGCGCATGCATGCAGTCCGGAGGCCCCCGGTGGCGCGTCCCGCTCGGCCGGCGCGACGGCACCACGGCCAACCTCACCGCCGCCAACAGCCTCCTCCCGAGCCCCCGCAACAACCTCACCATGCTCCAGCGCAAGTTCGCCGCCGTCGGCCTCGGCGACACCGACCTCGTCGCCCTCTCAGGTACGTAGTCAAACACCCAGACTCATCATCTGCTCTCCATGGCGCCGTGATTGATTCTGACGATCTTCTTGGGTCGTGGATTGCAGGCGCGCACACGTTCGGGCGCGCGCATTGCCAGTTCGTGACGGACCGGCTCTACAACTTCAGCAAGACGGGCATGCCGGACCCGACGCTGGACGGTGGCTACCGGGCGCTGCTCGCCGGGAGCTGCCCGCGGCGGCACGGGAACAGGTCGGCGCTCAACGACCTCGACCCGACCACGCCCGACGCCTTCGACAAGAACTACTTCACCAACCTCCAGGGCAACCGCGGGTTCCTCCAGTCCGACCAGGAGCTGCTCGCGGCGCCCGGCGCGACAACGGCGGCGATCGTCGGCCAGTTCGCGAGCGACGAGAAGGCTTTCTTCAGGAGCTTTGCCGCGGCCATGATCAACATGGGGAATATCAAGCCGCTCACGGGTGGGCAGGGGGAGGTTCGGAGGAACTGCAGGAGAGTCAATGGAAGCTAGAGTGACCGAGTGAGGAAGCGTGGTTTAGCTTGTACCATGTGTACCATATCTGTGTCATGCATGCAAGCATGTACGTACGTACTACATTGTTGAACCTCTTTAATTTATTCGAAAAGTCTATTTTAAACAATACTTCAATTTATGAATTTGTATGTGATTTACGCCCGAGATACTAACATGAGTCATGTATTAACAAGTATTGCATATTTATAGCTAACTGCTATGCAAGCTAAGGGCATCTACGACGCCAACCCGTAAACCTCTAGACCGCGCTGTCTGTATCATGGAAGCCATCCAACGCCGACCTGTATCGGTCGGCGGAGTGGTCCGAACGTGATTTTTCTCGCAAACCTGAGACAAAAGTGGGGAAAATTTGCGGGAGTCCGGACCGATCCCAATCCCGTTTCTGACCGTCCTAGCCCACCAAAAACACCTCCACCTCCCATGCGCGCATCCCGCCCAGTGCCAGGCTGCCAGCTGCCCGCATTCATGCTGCTATAGAGCGCGCCGCTCCGCATTGAAGGCAGCTCAGGGCGGACGCGACGTCTCACTGCCTCCGTCATCGAAGCGGCTCGCCGGTCAAGGGCGCCGCCCGCTGCATGTCTGGCTGAACAGGCCTCCTCGCCGGATTCATACACCTCCATTAACCCCGCGTGGAAGCCGAGAAACCTACTCCGTCCACATGTCCGTTCATAAGCGGGCCGACATTAAACGCAACATCGGCCGAGCTCCTCTCGCCCGCCCTCTATTTAAACGAGGCCAGACGTCGGGCAAAAACCACACCCCTTCGCCGCTCCCCCCATCTCCTCCTTCACCACTCTTCTAATGGATTCCGAAGAGTAGTTCTCCAGCATACAAGTCGGCTGGGTGGCCCGCCGAGCCGGCCGGATATGTGCGAGGCAGCTCGCTGCTCCACCTCCCACGCCTAACCCGCCGGAGCAAGTTGGCCCTCCAAGCCGACGCGTGGTTCAGCAACTCGTCGCTCCAGACCCACACGATGAGTAGTGGCGAATTGCTCCATGCTGACACGGCGGGGAGGACGGCAGCGCAGGCGTCATCGCTGCCTTCGACAACGTCACGGCATACCGCCCCGCCCGCACCTGCGACCGCGCCATGCAGGCAGAGACAGAAGTCGGGTGCGCGAAGAGCGACGAGTCGATGGTGGTGCCTCCGCGTCCGCCACCATCATCGAGGAGAAGTAGAACACGTGTCGGTGGGAAGGACACCTATGGGATCACAAGAATCCCTACTATGGTTGCGGGGCGCGGGGTCGTGAGAAGAGCGGATCAAACAGATAGCACACGGTTCATTTATCCAGGTTCGGGCCGCGAGGATGCGTAAAACCCTACTCCTGCTTTGGTGGATTGTATATCTGTGTTCTTGAGCTAGCTATGGGGCGTGAGGAGCTCCAAAAAGCCGAATCCCCCTCCTGGTCGCCTCGGGCCTCCTTTTATAGGAAAGGGGTTGCCACAGTGGCACACAAGAGGTGGAAAGGGTACAGTGATGTGAGGTTATCCCTCGCATTACATGATAAGGCGCATTTAATGCGTCTTGTCCGGGTGTCCTTGCTTTATCGGGGACGGGGGAGAGCCCTGTCTCGTCCGTCGCCGCTTCCTCTTGTGTCGACACGCGCCCTGGCCAGCGGTGCCCGCGGTGCCATGTAGGCAGGCAGGCAGCTAAGGTGGCGCAGTGGTGGGTCTCCACGAATATCCGCATGCCGCCACGCAGGTGCCTGCCCAGCTGGTTGGGTCGGCAGCTGCATGCGAACGGCGGTGGAGGTTTGACTGGCGTGGGCCTGATGGTGGCCCTACGGGTGTTCTTGGCAAGGGCCTTGCCGGGGCCCCGGCAAGGGTCTTGCCGTGGCGCCTGCTGTCATCCCCGACAAGGCTCTTGCTGGGGGCCTTGTGGTCCTTCTTGGCTGGGATCCCGACAAGGATCATCATCTTCTAAAGGGTGTATCTGATCTTGAATGTCTTCACAAAGATCTGCATGCCACCACGAGGATGTCTCCCGAATCCTTGCCCCATGGGGGCAGTGGACTCAAGGGTGACTCACTCCGTAGGTGTGGGGCAAGCTGCCACGGCAAGGGTCTTGCCGGGTTTGCTAAAACCGCCTCCCGGCAAGGATCTTGCCGGGGGGGGGGTCCGCTTCATCCCCTTTGCTCTTTGTGGTATTGGTCTTGGCGTCGTTCTGCTTCTCCTGAGCTTCGGCCTTACCTTGGCTCACCTCCCTTGCCTTGCTCAGTGTGGTGGTGCCCGTGGCTCAGACTGCGCGTGCACAATTATAGGGGTACAAAAAGCGTACCCCTCTTTTTGTACACCGACAGGAACCCCCGGGCCTGGGCCACACGTAAGCGCAATCGCGTCGTTGGGCTAGGCCCAAAAATGGTGCGCGGGCAGGCGGGGCGGTTTTTACCACGGTAAGTCTCTTCGCGCGCTGCGCTTCCCATGCTTCCCGCGCGTGGCGCGGCGTGGGGAGGCGTGTGTGACATGGGCGGCATGCGTGGGGTTGCTTCCCATTGCTGCCCAGGCCCTCCTTCAACAGACATGGAGGACGTGGACACTGTTGTCGGGGATATTGCTGAGGAGGCCGCGGCAGAGGCCAGCATGATTGCCGCCGAGGAGGCCGCCAAAGACGCTGACGAGGCCGCCGCCGACGAAGCCGCCAAGGGTGCCGCCGGGGACGCCGCTGCGGGGGCCGCCAAGGCGACCGGTGAGGCTTCTACCGAGGGCGCCAGCGGTGGACCTGCCGGTGAGGCTGGCAAGGCCTCCGCCGAGGAAGAGGTGGTGGATGACCAGCCTCCCTCCTCCTCAACCTCGGGCCCCAGCAGATATCTGAAGGTGGGCGACGATATCTTCGTCCACCTCCCAGGGGCGTCAAGCCGGGCGCCCGCCGAAGGGGATGTTTTTGACGGCGAGGTGCTTGCCGCCATCGGGCTCGAGGTGGTTGATGAGCCGGACGTTGGTGGCGACGGTTCTCCAGGAGAGCAGTTTTTTCGTGCCATGGGGGCCAATTTCCGGAAGCTCCAAGTTCTCTACCATTCTCGCCTGGACAAGGTCAAGTCCAGGATGGCAACGGTGGACAACGCGGAGGAGGACTTCAAGGCGCGCGTTGCCGAGACACAGACCTGGTTCCACCAGACTCGCGAGGAGCAGAGGGCCTTTCAGGAGAAATTAGCCGAGCGCGATGTGGAGCTCACCATGAAGATGGCCGACATCGAGAAGGCCCAGGAAAAGGCGGCGAACTTGGCTGCCGCGGCCGAGGCCGCCCGGAACCAGCATCAAGCCACCTTGGATTCCCAGGAAGAGGACCTCTCTGCGCGTGAAGCGAAGCTTGCCGCAACACTTCGTGGCAAGGATGAGGAGCTCGAGGCCCTTGTCGCGCAGCGGACTCGCGAGCTGGAGCAGAGGCACAAAGAGGCACTCGATGTCCAAGCTCTGGCCCATGCCGGCAAGGTGGAGGAGCTAGAAACAGAGCGGGACGAGCTAAAGGAGCAGGCCCTCAAGCTGTCCGGCGAGAAGAGCACGCTCAACCACGCCTTGGTGGAGGTGCAAGGAGCAGTCATCAGCAGGACTGGGGAGCTCTCTGACGCGCAGAACTCCATCAGAGACCTCAAGCTGAAGCTGGAGGATCTCGAGAAGATGTTGTTGGAGAGCAGGGCTCGGGAGGAGACCTTGACCAGGAGCCTCGAGGAGGAGAAGCAGCTGCGGGCGAACGAGGCCGCCTCCCACCAGGAATATGTTGCGGGTGAGAATAGGTGGATTAGCCATTTGGAGGTCATCGCCGGCAGGGTTACCTCGCAATTGGCCACCATGGGGTTGCCAAACGTGAGGTACGCCCCCGAGCGCAGCGGGACCGTCAACACCAAGCTAACCCAGTTCTTCGAGGGCGTCCTCGGAGCCTTGGCCTATCTTCACTCCAACAGGACGGCCACGCTGGTCGAGGAGGCCCGGCGACTTTGCCGGAGGGTCGTGACCAAGGTCCTCACCAAGATGGCGGACTGGAATCCCGATCTTGACTTCGCGGCCGCGATGAAGAGCTTGCCGGATGGTGTTGACCTCACGGTGCTCAAGGAGCGCATCAAGCCCATCACCGACTACATCGACGAAATCAAGAGGGTGGAAGGCCAGCGCCGGGATTAGGCATCCCGTTCTTCTTCGCCACTGCGGGTTCCCGACCAAGACAAATTTTATCTTTAGTTAGAACCGCAGCTATGATGTGATATAATATAATTTTGAAGTACTCTTAATTTTCATGCATGTTATTTCCCCGTTCAATTCCTCTTTGTATGCGTGCCCTACGTCGATCAGGAAGGCTTGCCGGTGCGGAAGCCCCTAGCGGCGTTTTGGGGATGGATCCCCATGGCCGGCCGGGTACGCGTGCTGCCGGACGAGCCACCTTTCCGTTCTGAACGCGGCCACTCGAACTGTCGAGCTTGACTCGAGTCAGAATCGGGGGCGTTGCTGATTGCGGAAGGCTACTCTGCCATTCTCGACGCAGCCGCTTGAGCTGTTGAGCGGACTCGAAACAGGGCAAGGGCATTGCCGATCGTGGTAGAGCCCCCTGGCATGCAGATTTCTCATACAAAGCAAATATCTCCGGGGGGGATAACCTCAAATAAGAAGGGTAGCGCAAATAAGGGTTTAGTGCAACTTAGCTTCTGTTTGCGATCGCTCGAGTGTCGATCTTCTGGCCTCCTTTCTTCTTCAAGGGTCACGAAGATGAAGGAGTGCCAGGCTAACTGCTAGAGCTGATTCTCACAACTGCGCCCCCTACCTGGCGCGCCAAAGATGTCGGTGGGAACGACACCTATGGGATCACAAGAATCCCTACTACGGTTGTGGGGCGCGGGGTCGTGAGAAGAGCGGATCAAACAGATAGCACACGGTTCGTTTATCCAGGTTCGGGCCGCGAGGATGCGTAAAACCCCACTCCTGCTTTGGTGGATTGTATATCTATGTTCTTGAGCTAGCTATGGGGCGTGAGGAGCTCCAAAAAGCCGAAT